ATTTGAATAAACTTGGTAGACACTCACTAGAAGATGTTTCATGCTTAGTATCTAAACTCTAGCTATTTGTTGTTTTTTTTTCAAAGAAGATTTTTTAAAGTTTTTGCTATACACATATGAGGAAAATCAATGACCCCCGGGGCAGGGCCAATTTTGACCCAAAGAATTTTATTAGACATCCATTAGAACATGTTTCATGCTAAATATCTTAGCTCTAGTTCTTTGGGTTCTATAAAAGAAGATTTTTAAGTTTTTGCTATATGCATATAGGGAAAATCAATGACCCCCTGGGGAGGGGCCAATTTTGTCCCCAGGGCTTTTATTTGAATAAACTTGGTAGACTCACTAGAAGATGTTTCATGTCAAATATCTAAGCTCTAGCTCTTTGGTTTTTTTTTAGAAAAAGATATTTAAAGTTTTTTCTTTTGGTTGCCATGGCAACCAGAGTTCTGCATGGAATTAAATTCTTTGAACAATTTTCAAAGGTGGCTACCAAAGGAACATTCCTGTGAAATTTGGATGAGATTGGCTTAGTGGTTTATGAGGAGATGTCATTTAAAGTAAAAGTTTACGGACGACGGACGGACGGACGCCGGACGAAAAGCGATCACAAAAGCTCACCCTGTCACTTTGTGGCAGGTGAGCTAAAAAGGCCTGTCTCCGGATTACATGGGTGAACACTTTACGCAAGATTCGAACATAATTATAGTACAAGACTTAGTCAAAAGGGCGGGTATTGCCTACCTAAGGTCAAAGGTCATGGTCCTAAATCCTTTGCTTTCTCTGGAATTAAATTATGGAATGATTTACCTGTAGAGTTAACAGAGATCAACAGGTTACAAAGCTTTAAGGTTGCCATCAAAAGTCATCTTATGAACAGTATTTAAATTTTTTTACTATGTTTTTACATGTTTCGGCTCAGGATTTTAAATTGTTTGCTAATTATCTTTTTACAATTTTAGTAATGTGTTTCAAATCCTAGCTGTAAACAGGAGTGTCATTAAATCAAGATTTGACTGTGATATACATTTTTATGACTTTAATAGTATTTTTAAACATGAATATATTTAGGTCTGCCTCTATAATTATGTCATGCCGCCAATACAAAGGACCACAATGGAAATAAGAGCTTTTTCCCCCCTTTTTGTGTTATCCTTGGTGTTGGTTAGCATGTTATAGTTTTCTCGTATGTGATACAGTATTTAATAATGCTCATTATTTTATCCTATGTTATGTTGTCAACTATGTTTATGCTTCCTATGCCGAAATAAATCTATTTATCTATCTACCTATAATAAAATAGAAGATGGAAAGCACTTTTTAGTACAATGTCCCTTTTATAACAATATCAGAGTAGGCATTTTTAGAGAACAAATGAATACAGATATTATGAACATGAACGATGATATCTTTTTGTAATCTAAAGAAATCATTGTTTAGCTTTATAACAAAATACTAAAGTTGTATTTCAGATTGAACATTCTATTGTTAATTTAATTCAATATAGATATGTACGATTACATTGTTTTAAAGCATACACGACAATTTATTCTTCAATATTGATGACATGTATAGTTTAAAATAATTTCATGTGAACTATTTATAATGTATGTTTCAGGTGACTTATTGGTCCATTTGGCCGCGTGTTTTGTTAAATTATTTAATTTCGTTATTTGTAAACTGTCATACACATGTCAATATAATAAAATATTTTTGTGTCACGTGCAACACAAGTTGAATATTGTGATTTTTACTTTATCAAGGGCAATAACTCAAAAAATACTAAAATTATCAACACGAAAATACCCAGGTGCACAACTACACATGCTGAGCAACATTCCTGTAAGGTTTCATGACTCCAGGTCGAATTCTTTTTAGTTACGTGCGACACAAGTTGAAAATTGGAATTTTTTTACTAATTCAAGGGCAATAACTTCAAAATTACATAATCCATATGAAAATACCAAGGTGCACAACTACAATTGCTGATCAACATTCCTGTAAGGTTTCATGACTCCAGGTCGAATACTTTTTAGTTACGTGCGACACAAGTTGAAAATTGGAAATTTTTAGTAATTCAAGGGCAATAACTTCATAATTACATTATCCACATGAAAATACCAAGGTGCACATCTACACATGCTAATCAACATTCCTGTAAGGTTTCATGACTCTAAGTCAAGCATTTTTTGAGTTACGTGCGACACAAGTTGAAAATTGCAAATTTTTACACAGTCAAGGGCAATAACTCCAAAAATACTAAAAATATCCACACGAAAATACCCAGGTGCACAACCACACATGATAAGCATCATTCCTGTAATGTTTCATGACTCTAGGTCAAATAATCTTTTAGTTACGTGCGACACAAGTTGAGAATTGGAATTTTTTACACAGTCAAGGGCAATAACTCTAAAAATACTAAAATATCAATACGAAAATACCCGGGTACACAACTACACATGCTGAGCAACATTCTTGTAAGGTTTTATGACTCTAGGTCAAATACCTTTTTAGTTACGTGCGACACAAGCTGAAAATTGCAAATTTTTAAACAATCAAGGGCAATTACTCTAAAAATACTAAATATATCCACATGAAAATACCCAGGTGCACAACTTAACATGCTGATCAACATTCCGGTAAGGTTTCAAGACTCTGGGTCAATTACGTTTTGAGCTACGTGCGACACAAAAAGAGAACGGAAGGACGACGGACAAGTGAAAATCTAAATCCCCCCCCCCCAAAGTTGGGGCACAAAAGTCCCATATATATATACTTTTAAGGGTGGTCCTATGTAAAATGACAAACATATACATTTTGAAAGTAAATTCTAATTAAAAATCAATATTTTATTGTTTTCCAAATAACAAATCTTTAAGACTTTGTTTTATACAGGGTATTTTATACGTGCAACTACATTTGACGGAGAAGTCAAAATACACATGTTTTTAGTCCTTTATCCGTACTTTATAATCATAAAGAAAAACTTATCTCATTAGTTTTGAACAATGCGTCATAACTTTTAAAAATGTCTCATAAATTTTCCAACAGGTGGAGATATAGTCTCATTTGCCAAAATTCTTTCCCGAACTCTGGACCGGTAGGGCCATTTCAACTTCATGAATTCCCGATTTCACCTTCATGAATTCACAAGTTTAACATCGTGATTACCCGTTTTCAACATACGGAATTCAAGATTTCAGCCTCACGAATTCACGATTTCATTTTCAGCTTCACAATTTAAACTTCGTGAATTCACGATTCAACTTCACGAATTCAACTTCGTTAAGTAACGAATTCAACTTTAAGAAAAGTTGAAATTGTGGACTCGTGAAGTTGAAATCGTGAATTGTTCATGAAGTTGAAATCGTGAATTCGTGAAGTTGAAATCGGGAATTCATGAAGATGAAATCGGGAATTTGTGAAGTTGGAATGTTGCCACCGTCTTTCGTACATTTGCGTTGTTTTGTCCGTCTATGAATAACAAAGCTATGTCCAATGAATAGTTTGACATTGACAGTCAAAATCATTTAAGTTATGATGTTGCTTTGTAAAATATTAATCAAATCAGTTCATAAAACGAGGTGAATGCCAACTATATAAAAAAACTAGAAAGGTTTACAAAATCGCAGTAGGATATTTATTTGGCAATACAATAAATACATGTTAAGTATTTGCATGATATTCACAATAAGGTGCGTTCCCTACAGTATTAAATTACGAAAAACAGCACGGTCTATAAGTATCCCGGTCGATCAATATAATACAGCATATCGTGTCTTTTTCTTATATTTTGCAGTTCATAATGTACTGCAAAATCGTAAATTCATCTACAATACATTTTATTCAATAGCCTTTATAATTATTTTAAGTCATCGTAACCTGGGACATTTTAAGTCCCAGTGGAAGCAGAATTTGAAGATATAATATTTACAGAGGCCCAACGTATGCAACAGGTGTACGAGTAGATCTGTTAAAAGCAAAAGTAGCATGTTTTATCTTAAGTAAAGCATGATGAACAATGTCTTTTGTCTAGATATGTCCAGAAACACCTTGTGTAACCCTTGTATCCCTGAATCCCTTGTCATGTGGGGGTAAAAATAATTTTGATTTTGTGCCATATATTCTTTTGTCTGCCCATTCATAATTGATATGCTTTTCTGGTAAAAACCAATTAACAATTGAAAAGTTTCATCTTCACTTGCTGCATTTTTTGCTTGGACGCCCTTTGTTGCTTTGCATCAATGCTTTTCTTGTATTCTAAGATAATGAAAAAATGATAGCTATCTGTATTTTATGTATTACTTTTATTCATTCATTTTACCTGTATATTGTTGCCCTATACATATGCTAAAGTTGTACCTTAAAACTTATAAGGACGTAGCCGTAATAAAATTACATGTATGTTTGTCTAAATTAAGTTTCTAATATCGTGTTGCTCGATTAATACAGTCGTTAGATAAAGATAATAATATAGATCTACCCTGATATTTATATGTCATATATATAAATTCTTGCACCCAAATTGCGCATGCAGGTATACATTAACAGAGAAGAAAACATGCATTAACGGATAAAATCACACGGACACGCGCTGTTGATGCACGTGATTTAGAGAGCCATGTAAAAGCGTAATTCTGCAATGGCGACCGGGGAAGTTTCATTGTCATAACTGTCAAATGAGATCGCGCTTGCAAGTGAAGAAACATGGCGAAACCGATTACATAATATAAAAAACAAACAATAAAACGCGAAATTACCGAATCAGACGTAAACTTTTTCGCAAGAATGAAGCTAATGCATCTTCTTCTGCAGAAGCCCTCGGGTTTATTTAATCATAATTTCAAATTATTTGACTGAGATAGTTAAAATATACAATGGTCATATCTGTGAACTTGTAACAATTTTAAGTGCTCATTTTGTGTAAAAAAAATATGACATTGTCTACATAAGGTGAAGTACCTTTAAAAACTCGTTTCCAATTTGACTTAAAATCGATTTTTATGAAGTGCGCATGTCAATATTTGGTGCGGATTAAAATGGAGAGGTATGTAGACTATTTAATACGCAGTATATTTAACACGCAATATATCTGATAATCATAAGTTTATCTATTTAATTATATATTCAGTTTATCTCTTACGTTTCTCTCAGTGATTATATATTTAATATTTTACAAACTAAGATTGCTATTTTATCAAATATTCAACATCTAAATTCTTTTGAAATTGGGGTGAAACAATCAATAATATAAACTACATTTTTCTATTTTTCCAACTTAAAAATAATACTTAATTAATAGGGAAAGTCGGGTCCTGCTTCGCCTTTGAAACTTTCGTCGATAAGATCTGATCGAGAATCATATATTTTATTTTGTTCTATTTTCGTTTTTGAAAAAAAAAACATCCAAATTGGAGAGGCTATGCGGTGAGCAGGCCAAAAAATAGTACCGTGATTCGTGAAGCGGCATCATCACTTACCACCGACATTAACAAGTGTAAACCACAGGTGAACGTCGCGTGGCCATGACTTACACTATACCCCCGTTCCCCCTCTTCAACCCAAAGCCCTTAAAACATCATCCAAACATTATAAGTATTGACAAAAATAAGTTTTATGAAAAATAAATTTTTATGACTACAAAAATTATAAAGGTATTTTACTCTACTTTCATTTTGCATAAAAATATCACTAGCATCTCAATTATCAGCGCATATATTCATCAATTTTTCACCAATCTTAACAATCGAGGTGTCAAATCTTAGATAAAGAAATACTCTTTAAGAAAACAACACTGGCACATTCGCTTATGATACGTAGCAAGAAATATTCAAACCCAAATTTTCCAACAAATGAAACTCGGAAGAGATCTTATTGCACTGTTTCGGTAAAACTCTCACGAGTAAAACACACTAAATTCACAGTGAATGAATATTTCTTTGTATTGCGTATTTAAATATGATAAAATAAATTATTATTTGTAATAATTGTTCAATCAAAGCATCATATGAAACTATCACGCACCTTTTTTCCTAAATGTCAAATTCTCAATCCAAAATGAAAGTCAAATGGCGCAGCAGATTATTTTCAAATGGAGTATTTTCATTTGTCACATGAAAACCTCGGACGAATGAAAATACTTAAATGGAGTAGAGTAGAGTAGAGTAAAAACCTTTATAATTTTTATAGTCATGAAAACTTTTTTTTATATAAAATTTATTTTTGTCAATACTTATGATGTTTGGATGATGTTTTAAGGGTTTTGGGTTGTAGAAGTGGAACGGGTGTATAGTGTAAGTCATGGCCACACGACGTTCACCTTTGGTGTAAACATGTTGTTCTTTTTTTACTTTAATACGTATTTCTTATGTGAAGTTTATATTTCTCAGAGGAAAGCTTGGTTTAACAGTCACTTCATACGCTTATTGCCGCGGAAATTTGATTATATATCGGTCATAAATAGTTCTGATATATAACTTCATAAGCACGAATTTATTATTATAGTTACAAAAGATATAAGTGTAAAGTACTTGATAAATTTTAATTATCATTATTTATTTATTTATTTATTTGTTTGTCTGTTTGTTTGTTTATTTATTTTATTTTTTTATTTATATAGTTTTTTGTATTTTTGAAAAAAAAGTAAAATATTCCAATTACTAGTCTACGCAGCGACCAACGCGACCTTTGCATGATTATTGATTATCGAAAGAAAACAACGTAGTCTCAATATCATGAACATTTTCAGTATCTGTGAGTTCTTATTAATGCGGATCATTTTTTGACCCATTTTGTTTTAGACTTTTTCATTGCCGGTATGTCACTGGTCCTAAAATATCTTAGCAGTTGTTAGGTTTTCTCTTGTACAATAGTTGGTTGATTGTATAATAGTTGGTTGAATTCAAAAAATAATTATATTAAGTTAAGTATCTATTATTTTTTCCCCATCATTTTGTTAGAGAACACCGAAAACGAAAGTTAGACAGCAGGAAATGCATACTAAAACACTGCTAAAGGGACATTCCAAACGATGAGTCACCAAGTTGAAATAGAGAAAAGAAAATACAGAAACTGGGTGAGAGGTGGACTGGCATATAAATATCTAAAACAAGGACTGGAAGGCTTTGCTGATGATGTTGTTAAACAAGATCATAAGAGAATTCTTAGTGCTATAAATTACACACCTGGTATTATCTGTACTCGGTGCATCATTGGAAACCTGAAACCGACACATGCATGCATAATAAATTCTGCAGGTAAAAATGAGTGCTACTGGGGTCAACATAAGTGTAATTGTTTGCGTACAAAGAAGGAAAAATGTCGCCTTCATATATGTGATCGCATTATGGAAGAACTATTTAGAAGCCATGGATCCACCCCACCAACACTATACTGGGCTAATACAGATATTCAAAGATGGTGTACAGAACCGTGGGAGGTCGCCAAATGTTTCATCAATGCACCTGGATATTCGGACAAGACAAAGGCAGCTGATATAGACATATCTGGATTACTCCATGTCTTCATTAATAACACCAATCTTCATTCGCATTTAGCATGCTCAATGGCTGGAAAAAATGTTTTTGTCAATGTAAGTCAATATTGGTTGTTCAGGATTTATAACATAAACAATTACATTGTCAGAGTCATTCTAAATATATAATTTAGATTATAATATAAATTATTGATGTATGAAATATGAACAAACATACGTTATAACATTATTAATGTTTGTGCATTAAAATAATGAGAAACACGGAAATGTTCAAAGACGGCATCGCATGCGTCTCTTGAAATTTGGCGTTAGATAAGATCTTGGTTTCCTGAATCGTTTATATATTTTCTGATTGATTTAGATAAATTGTTTAAAGAAAAGTAATTTGTGCGTATTTTGTCGACTTTTTTCACTTTGGAAAACATAAGACATACGTTGTTTTATAAATTAATTGATATTGCAGAGCAGATAAAAAGTTTGTCTGTCCGGACTTCTCCTCCAAACCTACTGATGCCATTTCAATCATACTTTATAGGAATGATCAGTATAGAGTCTTGTAGTCCAGTCCTATAATTTTCATATTTTTAGTTATGGTCCTTTAATGATTTATATTTTTTTAAAGTTTCTCCGGACAACTACTAATACAATTTGAATGAAATTTTACAGGATTGATTGGCCCCTCAAGTCCTTGCAAATATTCAAAGTTTTTTTATGTGTATGTGCGTTTACTTTTCGTTTGAATGTTTTTGAGCTATTGCCTTTCAATAAAAAAATGCGTGTTTGCCCTTTATAATTTTGGTGTTACTTGCTTCACAATAGCTGTGACACGCTATCAAGTTGCCACGATTGGGAAAAGTTCTCTGTCAATTTGTCCGTCCGTCCGTTTGTCAGTACATCTTTCCTTTAGAAAACTTGTCTAGAATACTCATAAACAAGAGGGTCATATTGACTTTTAAATTGCTAACCTCATTATTAAGGCCCTGAATTTAATAACTATGAATAGTGTTTACCATGAATAAAAAATGAGATATAATCTCACTATAAAAGTAATATTTGCAGCCCATATTTGGGCTATGTGACCTAGTAGTTTACCCAAGATTGCCAATATTTGAAATTAGGCTAGAAATCATCAAAACAACCTTTCCGACCAATTTATTAAATATTTGAAATGAAACAGAAGCCTCTAACGTGTTAACATATTATTATTATTATTATTATTATTATTATTATTGGGCTTTGTGACCCAGTTATAACCCCATGTGACTCATATTCATTCGAAATTGGATTTAGGATAATAAAAACAATCTTTCTGACCAATTTCAGTACACCTTATATGATATTTGGACCGCTTTCTTTGTTTTCTTATGTCTTACTATCCAGAAACTGTTCGTTTTACTTATTATATATCTGCGAAGAACATTTTACTCTTTAGATCTTTCTATGGACTTCTACGAATATCAGGTGTCAACATAAAGTTTTTGTATTTTTAGTGAGAGAAGAAAGCTCATTTTCATTTATATTGGAACCAAACTATTCTTCCAATCTCGTGTGATTGACTAAAACTGAATGGGCAATTTTAACAATTAAAGCAATGTGTTCTCGAAAACCATGAGAAAAAAAAGATAATTTTATATTTCTGTGTTTGTCTAATATTTTGATTAAACAAATAAGTCTCTTGACGGAACTTCTAGGTGCGAGAAAGAAGAAACAAATTGTATCATTCAGCCACCATGGAAATTGAAGAAGGGGAAATGTTTGAATGTATAGATGATATCGTTGAAATTCTTGAAGACCCAAAGCAACTCAAAGGAAGACCCGAGGTTCAGCAAGCTGTCAACAGACTCAAACAGGTAAATGATGTTGACAAATTTGGTCTTGTTGCAATTGATGACATTTTTCTTTAAGACAATTCTTAAACATTGAAATACTGAAATACGTATCTAGATTAATATTATAAGATAAAGATGTTCTTCAGAAAAATATTATATTTTATACGCTTACCAAAACCGAAGGTTCAGGGTGAGCTATACGTATAAAAGGAGGATGCTCCGGCGTCCGTCGTCCGTCGTCATGCGACAACAATCGTCTTCTTCTCTAAAATTATTGCTAGGCATATTTATTTCAAATTTGGTTTGTAGCATCCTTTTGACGGTCACACTGTAATTTGCTCATGTCATTTCAATTGGCCCATTTTAGGGATCAACAGAACTAAAAATAGAAAAACCTTTAAACATCTTCTACTACAGAACTAATTGATGATCACCAAACTTTGTCTGTAGTATTCTTGGGTAGTATTTTATTAAGTTTGCTCATATTAAACTAATTGGCCCCTTTTAGGGGTCTCTAGGGCTAAGATTAACATTTTCTACATCACTAAGTGATGGATGATCACCAAACTTTGTCTGTAGCATTCTTTTGTAGTCTTATATCAAATTTGCTCATAGAATGTATTAATTTGATTGGTCCCTTTTAGGGGCCGCTAAAGCTAAAAATAGAAATACCTTTAAACGTCTATTTCTACAAAACTAATTGATGGATGATCATTAAACTTTGTCTGTAGCATACTGGAGTAGTCTTTTATCAAGTTTGCTCATTTTGATTTGATTGGCCCATTTAATGGGGCCATAGAAATGTCTTTAAATGTCTATTGCTACAGAACTAATTGATGGATGATCACTTAACTTTTTCTGTAGCATTTTAGGTACTCTTTTATCAAATTAGCTTATTTTAATTTGATAAGCCCCTTTAAGTGGCCACTAAAGCCAAAAATGGAAAAACCTTTGAACATCATTTCCTAATGAAATAATTGAAAGATGAACACCAAACTTTGAAGCATTCTTGGGTAGTCTTTTATCAAGTTTGGCTTAGTTTGCTCATATTAATGTGATTGGCCCAGTTTAAGCTAAAGCTTAAATTCCCCAGGTCATGGCATTTCTTCAAATGTTTGTTTAAACATAGTCTTTGCTCAAATTTAATATTAGAAAATGTTGATAATGGATAATTTCAACACTGAAAAGCAGTTATTTCTGGTAAGCGACTCAGGGCCATCATGGCCCTCTTGTCTATAAATCTGATCATAACAGGTCTTACTTAATATGTTAACTCTTAACTGATTTTAAGAAATATAGATTTGTAATATGACGAAATATTGTTTAAATATTATAAAACAAAATCGTTAATAATACAAAAATGATTTTGTAAAAAATGTTTTCTTTTTCTTTTTCATTTACAACGATTTAAATAAATTGTGAAAATAAAAACAAATTTATTAAGTTTTATATAATTACATATCAATCAGCACATATAAAATTTCGTAACAGTTTTTTCAGCAACTTCTTATCACAGCATCTTGATATTTGGTATACAGCTTTTTCACGTGGTTCTATACTGTGCAAATTATCACATACAGACTACTGATATTTTGTATATAACATAAACACGTGGACTCATGCCATGGGATTTGATTTCAGGTCTGTCCCTCATCGACTTCCTGTTTACCGACTTAGTTAAGTTTTGACATTAATGGTCAATGGTAGAAAATTTTCCTAACATCACATCCTCATGATATTTGGTATACAAATGCAACCCGGCCTTTTCTGTCTTTGAATCATTTTCGTTTAAAATGAGAAGGAAAATTATTTCAATACTTACGAGTAATGAGTGCAAATATTTTTTTTAATATATCTAGTACTACATAATAGAAATCTATGAAATTATTTCAATATTTTTAGACATGTCTAATTATTGAACGAATAATGGAAGCAATAAATAGGTTCTTATTGATCACTCAAATGTGTTTAAAGCATTGATTGATACCTGGTAATCATGATAACCATACAAAAGATTGAATATGTAATCATCTAACATTCGCTTTAACAATAATATATAGGGAGTGCTATCCTACTCACCTGGGCATCAACGTCACACTTTTGGTTAAGCTTTCGTACCAATCCAATCATTTCCTTTATCAGTTGAAGCATTACTTGAAATTTTGTATACTTCCCCTCTTCCAGACATGAGGAAATAAGTCTGTCTTGGATTAAAAAAAAAATATTCCCCTATTTGTACTTGATTCAGTTCAGTTTTTTCAAAAGCTGTTATTCATAGAATGTAAGAACTTAATGTAGCATTGTCTTGTGGTTCGTTACAAAAGTTACATAAAGTTTTAAACATGGGAATGTGATAAAGGAACACATATGTGGCATCCAAGCTGTTACATTTATTTATCTTAAACAATATCGATAATATCTTAGCTTACACATTTGGTTTCAGACGTAACTGCAAAAGGTTCATAAATCATTTCCAAGTCTTTAGTAAATATAAAAAGCCCCCCTCCCTGAATTTACTTAAGTAATGTTATTATAATAAATCAAGCACTTTGCTCAAACTGATACATTTATAATAAAATAAGTCGAAAATATTGAAACAACTACGTATAATACTGATGGGTCTGACTTGCTCTTCACTTGTTATTCTTACTACCTAAATTGTTGTTTTACATGAATGTTTTACTGGTAATGCATTAAATTATGTTGTGGAATCAACATTGCATGCACTTCTTTTGCCAAAATTTGAAAAATAAAAGAAAATGTCCCTGAAAGCGGCCCTCTATGACGATAAAATACTATTTTTCTTTTAATATTTGAGTACTATACATATATATGATATTTAATACATTAGATATTTATATTTTACATTTCTAATAAAAATAGGTGCATTTTGAGTAAAAGTTATCTATACATATTTGCACACTGTTTTTATATTACTATATAATTGTTGGAGTTGTGTAGATTATGTATATCTGCAAATATATGTCCAACATTGATTTTTGCTAATGATAATGATATATTTTTATGTTGGCATTCTGCATACTGTAAAATAACTATGAAATGAGAAGTTATTAAATACGTTTTGCATGTAGCTAGGAAAAGGATAGGTGCAAAATACCTGCATACATCTTGAAATATAGCGTGTATAGTCGGATATATATATATATCACAGTTATCACAGTACTGCTCTGTGTTAAAGATTATTTTCTTCTTATTTATCATTGCCAGTTAAAGAATAGTGATTTCTTAATCACCACCCACAATGAGGTCGAGGTATGTAGAGAGGTATCAGCATCCTTAAACCTGAAATCAGAAGAAATAAAACAGGCGATTCAAGATGCAAAGAATTCCATTAGTGATGAAAAGAAAGATATTGTAGAAAAATTGCAACAAGCAGCAGACAAACATAAAGAAGATGTTAAAGATGTCAGTGATCAGGTAACAAGTACAGCTAAGAAGACAATACAAAACAGTATACACGGAGCTGTCAAAGAATTTGACAAACACAGCGAAATATTATATAAAAGAATAAAGAAACTGGAAACAGGCGTTTCTGAAAGAGTGGAGAAAGTGGAAACACGCGTTTCAGAAAGAGTGGAGAAATTGGAAACATACGTTTCTATAAGAGTAAAGAAACTGGAAACAGATGTTTCTGAAAGATTGGGAAAACTGGAAAAAGACTTTTCATCTGTGGAAAAAGTTAGTCATCATTTTTGAATAAATATCACATAAGACATGTATATCTGTCTGTATGTCTGTCTGTCCGCTTGTCTGTCTGTGTGTGTGTCTCTCTCTCTCCCCCCTCTTTCTCTCTCTCTGTCTCTGTCTCTCTCTCTCTGTGTGTCTCTCTCTCTCCACTGTATTATCTAGCTCATATACGATCAACTGTTGTCCGTTGTGCATGTGTGCTGTAACAATTTTTATCAGCATAACAGCAGTTTCCTTTCTAATTTTGATTGAATACAACTTGTTCAAAATAATAATAATTATTATAACAATAATAATGTAATCTTTATTTAGAGAAGGTAACATACAATGTTTACACTAAAAGAGAACATGCATTCATGTACTTACTTTCAGTATGATCTTCTGAATTAACATAACGAATTAACAAAATTTGAAATCTTTTTGTACAAACCAAAATTGAAATATAGTCTTTAATTTAAAGGTAAGATATTTTTATTCATTCATCCGACTGATACTCATATAGAGATAAACTGAAATAAATGATAATATTAACATATACAACAGCTACAATATAAAGTGGTTAATTTCTTTTATCATGTATCTAATTGACAAGTTAAAAAATGACTTTTAGAGCTGCTTTTGAAAGATTCTGAAGTCAATAATTGTTGGATAGTAACAGGTTATTTGTTTTAAACATCACAACTGAAATAAGAAAAAGAATCCTTTACATAATTATTATGAAGTATAGTGTTCAAAACAAGATTTTAATGAGCGATTGAGGGTCAATAATTTAATGCATTTTGATTGAAACTAAATAATGCACTAATGTACAACAGTGCCTGATTGAAAGCTCACCAGTACCGAAGATTCCGGGTGAGCTATTAATATCAAAGAGGGATGCTTCGGCGTCCGTCTTCAGTCGTCATTCGTCAATATTCAACTTCTTCTCTAAAACTGCTGGGCATATTTACATGAAATTTGGTCTGTAGCATCCTTGTGACAAGCACTCTTAAAGTTGCTCATATCATTTCAAGTGGCCCCTTTAAGGGGAAAAATGAAATAAAAATGTTTAGACATCTTGTATCACTGAGCTAATTGATGGATGATCACCAAACTTTGTCTGTAGCATTCTTAGGTAGTTCTTTACAAAATGTGCTCCTATTAATTTGATTGGCCTCTATTTTTGGGGTCTCTTGAACTAAAAAAGAAAAACCTTTAGACATATACTGAACTAATTGATTGATGATTACCAAACTTTGTCTGTAGCATTTTTAGATAGTCTTTTATCAAATGTGATCATATTTAATTGGCCCCTATATGGGTTCTCTAGAACTAAAGATAGAAAACCTTTTAAAATATTTTTCTGCTGACCAAATTGACGGATGATCACCAAATCTGTAGCATTCGTAGGTAGTTTTTTTATTAAAGGCTCATCTTAATTTGATTGGTCCCTTTTTGGGGTCTCAACAACTAAAAAGTTTAGGGGCCTCTGGAGCTAGGGCTCTAGGACAAGTTCATTTGAAAAAAATATTTCTGTTTAAAGATTTATACACCATAAGAAGCATATATTAGATATGTTTCTATACGCTTATGCTTCAGTCATGCTTTAAAGACAATATGAGGGCCAAAATGCCAAAAGCGATAGAGCTAAGATATTTAGCATGAAACATCTTCTAATGGGTGTCTACCAAGATTGTTCAAATATGGGCCCTTTGGTTAAAATTGGCCCCGCCCCAGAGGTCATTGTTTTTTCTTATATGTATATAGTCAAAACTTAAAAAAACGTCTTATATTAAACTCAAAGAACTATCTTTTAGTGAGTGTCTACCAAGTTTGGTCAAAATGTCCCCCTCAGGGAGGGGGCCTCATTGTTTTTCCCTATTTGTATGTAGTAAAAAATCTTTTTATAAAAACCACAAAGAGCAAGAACTTAGACATTTATCATGAAACATCTTCTAACGGGTGTCCACCAAGTTTGTTACAATAAAAGCCCCTGGTTTAAAATTAGGTTTGGCCCAGGGGCCAATATACAGGTGAGCGATTTCAGGACCATCATGGCCCTCTTTTTTATAAAGAGCATAGTCGTTCAAACAGGATATTTATCTATACGATAACTTACATCGTTTGAAAGTTCACAAACAAATAATAGGTTCATTTTATATTTAAGCGTGTAACGTCATTAGAACGCACAGATGGAGAATTAGACTGTATACGACAGATGTTGAAGAAACGTTTAGATTACGTCAAAGGGAAAAAAGGTATACAAATTTATTACCTACTTTAAGAGAAATCATTCCTTACTAGAGTTATAATTTCATTTTTGGTAGGATGTTTGCATAAACTTTAGCTTATCCTGTCGTCGATTGTTTATCATTCCCTTCTAAAAATAAATATAAAACCATCAAACTAAATCTTGCTCATTTGAAACTATGACTTAAGATATAACCCTGTTTATGCATTACTTCCGCTTTGAAGAGTATTCACATAGGCTAGAATTACTGTCAACTGCATCGAAACTGAGGATCATGGGTCCAAACCCAGAAGGGTCAGCTTTTTGTATACATTAGAGACGTATGTTTTTGTAGCAAAAAAGAAACCTAAGTTTGTTTGATTTTGCTATAATTGGCTATGGCTTTTTTAAACGGATGGTCTTCATACTTAAGCAAAACTACTTTAGGGATAATGCCTTAAAGAAGATCAAACTTGAGTTGACCTTGACCTAAAATAACCTTGACATTACAGGAAATTTTTTTGTATTTACAATGGCATAAGGGGCCATGGCCCTCTATTAAATAAAAGAAAATAGCAAAAGAAATGACCCCTTAGTCCATTTAAATGGCACGTCTGTTCACCTGTCTGGCCGTCCACAAAACTGGATCCCGCAATAACACAAAAAGTATTAAAATATTTTTATGAAACTTGATATATGCATAGATGGCAGTATGGAAATTATGCACGTCTTTTTCTTTTCTTCCTATGATGATAATTCTGGTTGCTATGGCAACTAATAGACTGAAAATATGGCAAATTTTACACATAAACTGAATCCAGTGATAACAAATAAAATACTGAAAATATTTTTATGAAACTTGAAATATTGGTAGATGGCAGTCTGGAGATTCTTTATTCTATAGATGGCAGTATGGAAATCATGCACGTCTTTTTTTTCTTCCTTTGTTGAAAATTCTGGTTGCTATGACAACAAATAGACAGAAAATGTAACAAATTTAACACATAAACTGGATCTAGTGATAATGCAACAACTTCTAAAAATAGTTTTATGAAACTTGAAATATGGGTAGATGGCAGTATGGAGATTATGCATATCTTTTCCTTTTCACCTATTTTGAAGAAAAAAGGTTGCCATGGCAACAAATAGGCTTAAAACGTGGCAAATATAACAATATTTGTGATAAGTCAAATAAAAGCTGAAATTTTTTATGAAACTTAAAAAATATAGATAGATGGTAGTAATGAAATTATATACATCTCTTTAATCTTGACTATAAGGAGTATAATGAGAGCTGTCATACTTAAACAAACGTCGGCAACTTCGTCAAGATTCCTGATTCTATTTTAAGGCTTTTTCACTATAAGTTCTTTATTTCTTAAGGTATTTATTTCAAACTTCAAACATAAATTTCTGGTCATCAACCACATCATATGTGACAAGGTTTTAACTCTAGCACAAAAATTATCAGAATTGCTGCCCTTGAACTGACATGAAAAAAAATGTTGTTTTTTTAAGCTTACCTGTCACAAAGTGACACGGTAAGCTTTTGTGATCACTTTTCGTCCGGCGTCCGTCCGGGGCCCATCTGTCCGGCCGTCCGTCGCCCATCTGTCCGTCCGCACTCACAGGAGAGTAATTATGTGGCTAGAGGGACAATATGTTACTGTTCTTTCTCTTTGATGTCATTCATTGCTTTTATGTGGCTATTTTCTTTTGTGTTGCTAAAAAGAACAATAGAGAGAACAATAGAGTAGCCACATAATTACTCTCCTGTTAGAACGTCGTCCGTAAACTTTTACTTTAAACGACATCTCTTCATAAACTGCTAAGTCAATTTCATCCAAACTTCACAGGAATGGTCCTTGGTATCTTGTTTAAAGAATTTGATTCCATGCAGAACTCTGGTTGCCATGGTAACCGAAAGAAAAAAAACTTAAAATATCTTTTTTTAAAAAACCCAAAGAGGTCGAGCTTAGATATTTGGCATGAAACATCTTCTAGTAAGTGTATTTCAAGTTTGTTCAAATTAAAGCCATGAGGTCAGAATTGGCCCCACCCCAGAGGGTTTTGCTTTTCCTTATATGTTATTAGCAAAACCTTAAAAATCTTCTTTAAACATCCGAAAGAGCTAGAGCTTAAATATTTGGCATGAAACATTGTCTGGTGAGTGTTTACCAAGTTTGTTCAAATAAAAGCATTGGGGACAAAATTAGTCCCGCCCCGGGAGGGGGGGGGGGGGTCATTGATTTTCTTTATATGTATATAGTAAAAACTTAAACATCCTCTTTTAAAAACCAAAAGAGCTAGAGCTTAAATATTTGGCATCAAACATCTCCTGATGAGTGTCTATCAAGTTTGTTCAAATAAAAGCCCTGGGGCCAAAATTAGCCCAGCCCAAGGGGTCATTGATTTTCCTTATATGTATATTATACAAACCTATAAAACTTTTTTTTTAAAAACCCAATAAGTTAGTGCTTAGATATTTAGCATTAAACATTTTCTAATGGGTGTCTACCAAGTTTGTTCAAATAAAAGCGGCATATACATCTCGTAAATAGTGCCTTGATGAATAACCATCGTTTGGCAGAGAATATTTTACATCAAGATTGACTTTTAAATATAACTACAACACCTATACGACTGCTAGTCTAGTTTGATCAGAAATGAATGTTACAGCGTGAAGATAGACTTAGAGCTGTTTGCTTGGTATATTTGTACCCAGTGTCAAATGTGGATTAGATTAAATGATACAATGTCGAAAAACGATAAAACTCCTATAAACATAAACTAATATTTAGGTTAGGTTGACACTATTTGTTTTTGCTTTTTGGAATGTTGACAATTATTAGATCTCCATAAATCACTGCAAGTAACATAATTTCTCAACGACCTAAAGAAAAATGAAATTACCGTTTTACTATTTCACAGAGCTACAAGATAAGCTTGTTGAATCTTACCAGAAGTATTATGTGAAGACATCACTTTCTCCTTTGAAACAACAAGAAGATAGCATCAACGTTAAAGATGTATATGTACCTCCTGAGATAGAGGTTGTTGATGCAAATCAATCAGCAAATCTGGATAAAGGTAAGAGGAAGACGAAAGCGAAGGTAAAAGGATATCAAGACATCTTTCAAACAAAAGGGCGGCAGAATAGGAAGATTTACATATTAGGTGATGTTGGAACAGGAAAGAGTACGTTCTGTAAAATGATGATTGAAAACTGGTGTACTGCTGTAACGGGTTCGACCAAAAGTTCAATTCGCTACGAAAATGCTTGTGACAGAATGGTATGCAGTGACAACATTATGGAAAAAAGGTGTGACGACGATGTCAGTCAGATAGGGCAGTATGAATTTCTTTTCTTTTTACCACTGCAAAATATGTCAACATTTCAGTCAGATGTCATTGTTGATATGATTAAGGAACTCACAAAAGATCTTATTTCAGATACAGATTTGATTGACAGAATATTTCAGGAAGACTCAATGCGTTGTCTTATCATTGTTGATAGTTTGGATGAATGGAGGCCACCTAAGGATGTTGTTCGTAGACCACACGTAAGTTACGGAATTCCAAACGGAGACAGGGCTAAAGACGCAACAGTCCTTACATTATCGAGACCATCAGCAAAAGGAATACTTAATTTGAAAAAATCCGAAATTGATCTCCAGTTAAAATTATTAGGTATATCTAGTAGATCATTGAAACCATTCATTAAACGATACATTATTGATTATGACACCTTTTCAATCAAAAAATCTTATGATAAATTCATAGCTATTTTGCTGTCAAAACAGATTGAGCATGTGGAGAAAACGCCATTGCTTTTGCAACAATTTCTTTGGTTATACTGTAATGATGAAGACATTGGTGAATCAATTGGCGAAACTTACTGTCAGATTTTAAATACCATGTTTGGTTGGTCAGACCGAGGTAAGGATGAAGATGACACTGATGAATGTCAGACTTTGGAAGATTTCACAAACCCAACAAAGCCCGATTTGTTAAAAAAATTTCCAAGATTAGAGAACAACAAACGTGTCCTATTTCTCCTAGGTCGTACTGCATTTGAAAAATGTCTCTCTGGAAAATTACAAGGAACAAATGCTTGTGCTTACATAAGCAAAAGAGACTTACCAAAATGTGATGTGGTTAAGCTTACACGATTGGGCATCTTGAATGAGAGTAAGTGCTATAACCCAACATTCGAAGACACACAGCTGGATTTCATCCATTTCTCTTATCTTGAGTTTTTTGTTGCATTATATGTAACGATATGTTGTTGCATGGAACAAGCAGACTCACGTCCAGTGAAACAGAACAATGGAAAACATAAGGTTGTAGATGAGTTGCTTGGTACATGTACATCATCTTTTGACGTATTACAGTTGTCCAATGTGATTAAAATGATTTGCGGTTTATCGCCCTTACTTATTGGTGATTTGTCAAAAAGGATTTCCTGTATTGTGAATAGAGACAAACACATTTCACATCTTAGAACAAATGAGTGTGAAACGTTATACAGAAATGATGAGATTGTTCAGATACAACGGCTGATGGTAGACTGTCTCAAAGAGTGTGGTTCATTTTGTAGGACATTGGTCAATATCAGCGATCTATGTATAAGTGATCTTGAGCCTAGTCCGTCTCTACAAAGGATAAACACTGATAATGTGATTTCTCTGGCATTTGAAGATTCACCAAAAAATGATGTAGTGGAGTACCTCACACAATGCAAACTTTTGCAATACTTGAATATCGAATGTGTTTCCTTTAAGAGGACAGATATTTCATTATTATCAGAACAATTGTCTGTAAAACAGTTGACGCTTCATCGTGTAGATATTGAAGAAGATGATGTCGAAGAACATGCTACAGTTGACCTGACTAGACAGAACCAGATGCAGAAACTTGAGCTTTCTTCATGTGATGATATGAGAATTTCTGGCATAAACACTGAACAACTTAAACAAGTTCACATTGAAAACTGCCCTGGTATAATTAATTTTGAATTTTTATCAAATGCCCAACAACTGACAGAGCTTTGCATTGAGAATAATGATGCTGATTGTGTATCACAGGGTCAACGTTATCATATTGACTTGTCTAATCAGACACATCTCCAAACACTTAAGATGATAAAGTGTCCTGATATTTTAATTACAGGATTAAATGTTGAACAGCTTGAACATGTACATATTTTTAAATGTCCCACAATACACACTTTAAAACTGTCATCTAGTACAAGCAAATTTAAGGAACTTTATGCTGAAACAGTTCAATTGAAACCTATTCTGGAACAGTTATTACTAAAGACAACTTTAAGACAACTGACATTAACCAATATCCGTGATAATGTTGATGTTGATCTGTCTAGACAAAACCAACTACAAACACTGAAGCTGGAATATTGTCCTGGTTTAGTAATAACAGGATTAAACACAGATCACCTTGAACAAGGACATATTTTTCAATGTTCCAATATAGGCACTTTAAAACTGTCATCTTATACAAGCAAATTTAAGGAACTTTATGCTGAAACAGTAAAATTGAATCCTATTCTGGAACTGTTATTACTACAGACAACTTTAAGACAACTGACATTTACCAATATCCGTGATAATGTTGATGTTGATCTGTCTAGACAAAACCAACTACAAACACTGAAGGTGGACGGTTGTCCTGGTTTAGTAATAACAGGATTAAACACTGATCACCTTGAACAGGTATATATTTTTGGCCAGGAGGGATTTTCATTAAGACATGGTCAAAACACTATGATTGACTTAAATTTTTTATCAAACGCAAACAAACTCATTGGATTACACATAGAATGTTTTTTTGGTAATGTACCACTTGTATCGTTATTACAACAAAAAACTACTTTAAAACAACTGACTTTGACACAAATGTATCAAGATCAGGGTGTTTTGCCTGCAATAGATCTTTCTGGTCACAATTTACAGAAACTTGTGCTTTCAGATTGTAATTGTATGAAATTTTACAACTTAAACACTGATCACCTTGAACATCTGAAAATTGACCATGGTTTATTAGATTTTACTTTAGTATCAAATGCCAGCAGTCTGACTGAACTCTGCTTAAGGTCATTTCAATACAGTAAACAAGTAGGTAATGTTGTACATACATTACATCAACTTAGAAAACTCACATTACATAATGTAGATATAGATGAAAACGCTCTTACTGTAACACCAGAAATGAAAAATCTTACACACATTCAACACACATTAATAAGAATGACTCTGGACACATGGCGTACATTTGTTGAAAGTCTTCTTGATCTTGACCAATCTGTTGAGGTGGAAGCAAACGTTCACAAAGGAGTATTACGTGAGGTATTGAGTATAGAAAAACGTGACTTCGTGCGAACTAATCTTAGATTTGAAGTTATTAGGGATGATAACTATATATTTCTATTTAAATCAAGGGAATTATTTCACCACTCACAAGCGAGTATAAGATTTGACAAATGATAAACAGAATCGACCGTATTTTATAGAATTCATTAGCATTACGTTCATTTAAATATATGTATTGCAGTCAAAAGTAGAAATTATTATTTTGTATAGTGTGAACTTTCTTGGTGCAAAGAAATGGACTACCATTCCATTTATTAAAGTAATTATTTGTCAAAGTCATTTGTTAACTCACTACAGTAGTCTATTTTCATCAGCTAAAATTTATGACATTAGCTTTTTTTGTCGGAAGATTCTTGGAGATGTATTACTATGGGAATCAATGTCTTAAAGAGAAGAAACAACTGATATTCTCACCTTAATTTACAAAAAGGAATGTTTTTTTAGCTCACCTGACCACGAAGTGGTCAAGGTGAGGTATAGTGATTGGCCTATGTCCGGCGTCCGTAGTCGTGCGTCGTCAACAATTGGGTTGTTAACAGTCTAGCAGTCACAGATGGGTTATCTCGGGTCAAAAACTAGGTCACAAGAGCTAAAAATAGAAAAAGCTTGTAAGCACTCTTGTGGCTGCAGTTTTCATCCAAATATTCTGGAAATTTTTCAGGAAGGTTGTTTTGATGATTTCTAGGTCAAGTTCGAAGATGGGTCATCTCCGGTCAAAAACTAGGTCACTGGAGCTAAAAATAGAAAAAAGCTTGTTAACACTCTAGTGGCTGCAATTTTGATTAAAATATTCTGGAAATTTGTCAGTAAGGTTGTTTTGATGATTTCTAGGTCATGTTTTTTGACCCGAGATAACCCGGTTAAAAAATGAGTCACAGGAGCTAAAAATAGAAAAAGCTTGTTAACACTCTAGTGGCTGCAGTTTTCATCCAAATATTCTGGAAATTTGTCAGGAAGGTTGTTTTGATGATTTCTAGGTCAAGTTTGAATATGGGTCGTCTTTGGTCAAAAATTAGGTCACATTGCCCAAATATGGAAAAAGCTTTTTAACACACTAGAGGTCACATGTTGGCCTCAGTTGTCATCAAACTTGGTCAGGATGCTTGTCTAAGACATTGCTTGGATACGGTTGATGGGTCAGGTGAGCGATCAAGAGCCGTCATGGCCCTCTTGTTTATTGTTTTGTTCTTTTTGTTTTCTTAAAAAAGTCATACATGTATAGATTTAATGATATTCAATTGCTGATTTTAAAGATCACCTGCATGTATAAATGTTTTAATGTATTGATTGAATTTATATATCATGCAATATACTATCATCATTGTCTTTTGTTAATAAAAAGCTGTAATCTTTTGTGTGAATAATATATGCTTCATGTTTATGCGATATTTTACTGTTTGAAAAATGCATGTTTTTTGTTTTTATCTTAAGGGATATTGCATGCATTAAAGTTCACTCAGGTAAAATTATTAGTATGAAAATGATATATGAATTGTGCCGAAACACTGCATTCAAAAGATAAATATGTACATAACTGACAGTTTACACTGTCTTCTGGAGTAATTGTTTTATGAGAGCATTATTTTATGCTCGACTTTATCAACAAAAAAAATAAATTAATGATACAGTCATGTCGTCCCTGTTGCCGTTTCTGTCATAACTTTTGACTTTTTTTTTCATTTTTCTATGCATTGTCTTAAAACAACAATCTTTTGGCAAGACCTTCAAGTAGACCAGACTGAAATCATAAATGATCTTGACCTTCAATTTCTTTACATTTGTTTTTTATGAATGGATTGTCTTCATACCTCGACACAACAAATAATTTAGACAAGACCTTAAATGAGACTAAATTGACTAACTTTCACTCATCAATGACTTTGACCTTCAATGTCTCATTATTAAATTTTTTCTTGATTTCTAAAAATAAAACTGGCTAAAATTTGGATATTTAGTAATGTTATGTCTTCATACTTGATCAATACTACCTAATGGACTGTGTCTTAAAGATAACAAAAAATTAAATTTACCTTGACTTATAAATGACATTGACCTTAAAGGTCAAATTATTGTAATTTCACAAATATTCGCTCACTTAAGCCGACTCATTGTGAGCTTGTAAGATCGTTGAATGTGTTTCGTCTGTCTTCCGTCCAGATTTACTTTGTTAATTCTGGTGGTCACTAAATTTTAAGTACCAAGCTTGGTGTAAAAATGATTGTCCCTGGGTCATCTGGGATGAAAAGCTAGGTCAAAGAGGCCAAAACGGAAATAGTGTTAACAATTTAATGACTACTGTTTCTGCCAAGATATCCTGTAATATTGTCAGAAAGGTTGTTTTGAGGATTTTAGCTAAAGTTTGAATAGGGTCATATGGGGTCAAAAGCTAGTTGACATTTGGAAAAACCTTGTTTATATTTGTACTATATAAGATGCAGATTTGAACATCATTTTAAGATTAAGACATTATATCTGCTTTTCATTCATAGATAACAAAATTAATTCTTCCCGGTCATTAAGAGTTTGAACAAGTAGGTGAGCGATATTAGATCCATAATAGCCCTTTTTGTTTGCAATAATTGGCTATAACTTTGTAAGTAACAATTAATTATTTTCATACATTGGTACAGCAATAACTTGGACAAGAAATTATAGAAAATTTAATGAACTTGTTCTTGACCTTTATTTGACATTGGCACTTAATGTTAAATTTATAAGTGTAATTTGCTACAATTAGCCACAACTTTGTTATTTATTTATTGATATGTTTTAGGACGAATGAACATTTGTTATTTAAATATGACTTTGACATTTAGATGACCTTTACAATCAAGATCAAATATTAATGATGTTATTTATTTGATCTATACTTAATCAAAAGAGCAGTTATGATAAAACACGTATATTGAATTGTTCAAATATAAGCTTCAACTTTAGTTGTCCTTGAGGGTAACGATTGAAATTTCATTAGATTGTCAAAGCTTTGTGATATGTGACATTATCTTGACCTTTAATTTACATTTCAATCAGGATTTGCTGACATTTCATAGTAATGCTTTCTAGGGTTATTTGTACTATAATAGTATTCCTCTAACTCGTTTGATTTTCGAAATAGAAAAAGTGTGGACTTCTATGCGTAGGGTGTTGATGTTATGCTGTTATATTTGATATTAACATGATTATTATTATGAAACATATGTGCAACTTGATATGTATACTATTTAATTATCCATTATTAATTTATTAATTTTCATCTTTGAACTTGTCATTTTGGGAAATGAATCATTCTTTGATTATTGCTTTGATGAACAGGTACTTAAACTTGTGAAAACTTTTATTTATTGATTATTATGAAAACTTTTATTTATTGATTATTATTTGAGCTTTTATCTGTGTATTTGTCATGGATTATAGAATAAGTCAGGTTTTTGTCATTTTGGTTCTTGTGGAGTAAAGATAGGGTAAGAAAATATGACATCTTTTTATATGCCAAGCAAGTCTTCAAATCTGGACAGTTCAGTAGTTTATGAAATTTGTATATGCAATTTAATAAATGTTCGATGATGTCCATCATACATCAGTTTATGACGGTAGTACTTTGTAGAAACAAAAGACACCCGACACATGAATGACACGCATATGATTGATTTACATAAATCGTAGTTTTATAATTGTTTGCAATCATATAAAATTGTTAAGTGTGCTGTTTATAATTAAAAACAAAATAAATCTGTAGAAATAAGATGATTCTGTTGTTTTTTTGTTTGTTAATGGAATACTTTGTTGTTTCTTTTCAGAATAAAGTTGCTTTGTACCATTTCAAACATTAAAAGAATATTTATATTAAATACAACATAATATTTTTATTGAAACAATTACACTCGAATACGCATTAACCTAGCCAAATAAAATAAAACACCAAGTACAAGTGCAGTTTTACATTTTAAGCATAGGTATGACAAGGTTGAAGGTAAGCAGTAGAATTGTGGTTGAATTGTTTGTCCCTCAACCAAGGGATCGTGAGGTCGAGTCCTGAATGGGTTATAGCCAATTTACTCAAAATAACACTAGTGCTGGATAATAACTCGAAGAAGTGCCAAGAGTGGCATGCATAAGTCCTCACAATTAAATTGAAAAGATAGCATATATGTTCTCCCAAAGTAGCACAAGATAGTTAAGTTGAAAAGATAGTATATATGTTCTCCCAAAGTAACACAAGATAGTTAAGTGTTGAAAATATAGTATATATGTTCTCCAAAAGTAGCACAAGATAGTTAAGTGATGAAAATATAGCATATATGTTCTCCAAAAGTAGCACAAGATAGTTAAGTGTTGAAAATATAGCATATATATTCTCCAAAAGTAGCACACAAGATAGTTTAGGAGAACATATACAAAAGAAGTTAATTATATTAATATTAATAATTATATATTTTAAGAAGTTAAAAGTATATTCATTGCATACCAGTGCCACTTTTGCGGCTCTTTGAAAATGATATTGCACGATTATACACATATTTTGACGTGACGTCATTCACATTATACAAACATAGAAAGCAGACAAAACACTAAGCCAGAGGATACCACTAATAATAATATACAAATGCTGAAAAATAGTCTGTATGAAAAATATAGCTAAAACTCATCGGAGGGTATAACGTTGTAACAATTCATTCATCAGATAAGATCCCCGGGTACATAGATAGATCTTGATAATGATCCTGATGCCACTGATATGCTCAGTAAAGCTTCCTATGATGCTTCGATAAAATCAACCCAGTACCTGGTAAAAGGTACTTGGAAAAATCCGGACACTATGCATTTCAGTTGAGCATATGATATTTAGATAAGATGAAAACAATTTTCTGAGTATTTTATTGTTAATAATATACTCGTACAAGTATGGTTAGCGAAAGATACCACGAAGATACCATTTGTACATATGGTTTTGGTTTCCAGATATACAAAAGAAGAACTCAACTTTATTTTTGGATATCAATTTAGATACAACGGAGCACTTTGGGTTTCATGTTATAAATCTCTCATTTCACTGGTATCTAGTTCAGTTAAATACAACTTTGTTGCCATAGATATTATAGGTCATGTTTTGAACCAAAGCAAAACAAAGCTTGAACAATGATCCTCTCAGTATTTATTAACGCTTGATTGATCTAAATAAGGAGTTGTTCTTTTTAGAACAAACTATAAATACAAAATGTATATTAAATTTGATCTTAATATGATTAGGGATGAGCAGAAAACCGACCGACATGTCAAAACTAAATCAAAATAATTTTAATATTACGTTATCGATTTAACCGTAACAAACTTGTGTTTTACTGAAGTTATTTTTTAACCTAACGATCAAGTTTTAATATAAGAGAAACAACTCTTTTCCATGATATATA